TTTGTCTATAAACACTACAAGTTACATATTTCGTTTTTTTTTTAAGGACGGGTTGATGGTGCAACAACAGTACATCTTTTCAGAGGCTGAAAAAGCTCACAGAAAATTTCACAAATATTGACAACATGTTCCACATGATACAACAGGATCAACACAATTAATACTTTAATTTTAGAGTTTTCTTCTTCTTGTTCTTGCCAAAATAGCAAACTCTTGCTTAATGTTCCTCTGTAAGTAGCTGAAGCCTATAACCAATTTCCTATATAAATGCAAAGCAGAGAAACAAAAGGAGTGCCTCGTCTAATTAAAGTCAAATGAAAATGGTGGGTTACTTTTTTTATTTCTGATCATTTCATTGTCGATATTTGAACATTTAGATTTTTGAGAATTAAGAGATAAATTTGAATAAGGCTGATTGATTAGAACAACTTCTGTATATAAAATCAATATGGAGTAAGGTAGATGTGACAACTTGTTCCTACTTTTCACTGTAATTTCTTTTCCATTGAGTGTTTTGACATTTTACCTTTTTTGGCAAAAATGGAATCTTGACGTGGACTGGTTTCGCTTTCAGTTTCTTCTTCCTAGTTCATACTTAAATAGTACTCGTCAATACGAACGCATGAGCTCGTGTTAGACTCGAATCAGACATGTACGAAAAAGTTATTTCGTTAAGTAGTTATTACAGATATTTTGTACACTCGCATACAATATCAGTGTCGGAAACACTGTGCTGGATAGATTTTTTTGATTCCTTTTACTGAGGAAATCTGAAACCTATCAGTAATTTCTTTTAACCTAACCGCGCCTTCCCTTGTCACTCACAATCAAACTTTCCATTTTCACTTTACAATCACATCTCTTTCCACTTCCCTACACCCAATCAGAAAAAAAGAGAAAAAGCACCATCTCTCCTTCATCTCTCTCCCCCTCCCGGAAGTCTCTCATTCTCTTAATCGCCTGAACGAACACCAAAGCTCGTAGATCGAGCCAAAAAATCACACATTGTGTTCATCTCACCACCATGAACACAATTATGCCCTGGATCGTGTTTGACGAGTTTTGGACGTCGAACCAGAAGTTCCGGACTAGGCTAGTTTTTCCCTACGAGTTGCGAACAAGTTACAAGTTTTTAGGATGTCTAAAGGGCCTCCACTCAACTCCCTGAGGTCTTTAGTGAAGGTTTGGGGAGCTTTAATGTGAAACAACCCGGTTTCAAGAAGTTGAGTTTTGGCCGAACCTTTCGAGGCTTTTTCAGCCATAATCGTCACTTTGATTCAAAAGGTATAACGCGATTCTACTCTTCATAAGCTCATTTCTAAATAATTTGTGAAAAATAGTTGAAAATGAAGAAGATATAAAGGTTTGAAATTTTACCAGAAACCGGCGGAAATTTCTAGATTCGGTGGTTCAGACGACGGCGGACGGAGGCACCGCCGAGACCACGGAGAAGATGAAGGATATTCCGTAAAGTTGACGAATATTCTAACACGTCAGGTAATGCTGTTAAACTTTGTTAGTTATTTAACGGAATATTCCGTCAAACAGACAAATATTCTTGACGAACATTAGGGATGCTGGGCGTGGGTGCAAGTAGGCCGGCCTTAGCCGCTGCGTGAGGGCGTGTCCGATCTCTGTTGCTTCTGTCAATTTGTGTAGGTCGTGAAGTTAAGTTAAATCGATTTCGTATATCAACTTTATTTGAGCAACTACGAGTTTTAATTTAAGTTTCCATATAGGTATTATTAAACTAATTAAATTAGTAATTTCACATTTAGGGGAAACGTATCCTGAGGCGTACGGGGTCAGTAAGGCTCGGAGGCTTCGTTTCAACGCGTATCTGTGAGTGGGCAGTTTGTTTTTACCTATATATAATAATAGTTCCATGAATGCGTATTTTACTTCTTTTACACTTATATTGCAAGTATCGTTATTGTGATATTAAATGTATAAATGCTACTATATGGTTGGTATATTAATGTCATGACATTCAACATATTTGTATATACTCATCTTGCTGCACCCGGTATTGTACTCTTCCCAGGCCAGGCCAGTCATCACGTGTATGTTCACATCCGCACATTCGCTCGTTTTGGATCCAATTAGGTGCTAACTTGTCGCTACAAATTGCATTAGGCATTCCGACTTGTATGTGACCGTGCTTTTTGCACCAGCCTCACGTGATCATAGTATAGAGCGTATTGATACACCCAATCCTGTTCGTGTCATAATTTATCTATACGAACTCGTGTTCAGTTAATGGATGAGCACTTATTTATACTTGATTATCATATGAGTATACTGCAACATTGATATATCATGACTTGGCATACTTCTGGTTATATTGTTGTTGATTGTTGTTTACAAACTTAGTAGTATGTTTAAGAAATATACTTTTTTACAGCGAGATGTTATTATATTCGAAATAAAGGTTTACTACAAACGTTGTTTTGCTGACTCACTCAACTTTGTTTTTCGCCCCTCCAGGTTTAGTATTGTGCTTACGTGTAAACGAGGATTCTGGCAAATCTCAGAGATAGTTATCTTCAGTGTATAACCCTCTCCATTTACTATATTGCTTATCTGACATCAAGTGTGAATGGTTTAATTCCGCTCACCCGTCATCTTTTGACTATGCACTTTTAGGTTAAATTTATTAACTTCCTTTTCCACTAATACACTTTATGGTTTTGTCACCCCTAGGTCGGAACACAACTTATTGGAGTCCAAGTAACATTCTAGGTCGGATATGTCGTGAACTGAATACATGGTAAGATCCTCTCCGATCATTCCTCTGATCCCATAGATCCTTTTATACTGATCAGCGCAGACCTCTATCGTACCCTCACCCTCGCGACCAGCAGGCCGTCTTTCTTCGTGCCACGGCATGACGGTGAGCTGGGATCAATGACATAATTGACACCTTACCCAAATTTTATCCCAAGAATGCTACTATCCCCTATCTGAGTGACGAACGCAGTATATTTTAGTGCTTATAGCAATATGTGCAGCACTTAATATTATATTAGTGAGATGATTTTCAATAGTTAATTACTAGTCGCAAATTATGCCATTTCTTTCTCTATACTGAATTCAACCTCCATTTTTTTTAGTTCTATCTTTATTAAATATAAGAAGTAAAAACTTATCATTCAAGGGAATCGAGGGATGAAAGTACTTGTCATGTGTGCATCAAACGTAAATAAGTTGATTAACAAACATTTGTCGAAGCCGAAAATGGAAAGTATCTGGAGACTATATTTAAATTGTATTTTGTATACAGATTAGTTGTTGATGATTAAATTGTACTTAATGTTATTAACGTTCTTATTTTTTATTGGTGATTCATGTAGTTTGATGTTGTCTAAAAATTGGTCAACCTAGTATATATATATTAAGAAATTTGTTGAGGTACAATCCATACCGAAAAAAAAAAACCTTGCTGCACTTATAAGTAATTGCGGTATTCTCCATATTACCAATTAATTTTAAGGAAACTAATAAAGACTGAAAACTTTGAGTTTTAAAAAATATGGTTTTGTTAAAGTAAACAATACTGTGAGCTTTTCATTAAATTCTCATAATTTTATGGTGGAACCCCAACTTTATTTATTGTATCAGAGCAGGTTGTCGCGTGTGTGAACCCCTGCACACATACTTCATATCACTCGATTTATGGTTTCACTCTCTCTCTACAAAGATAGAGAGAGAAAGAAAGAAAAAAGAACGAAAGAAAGACAACGACAAAGACAAAGAAAAGCTCAAAAGCTAAGAAAGTTAGAAATGGTGATGAAATGGGTAACCTCTTTTGAAATTTTCTTCAGCATTAAATCGTGTTTTATTTGTTTCAGAAATTAATGAAAAGGCACTGAGTGATCTGCTGCAGGACGACCCCTCCTTGTTTGAATCCCTGATAAAGTAGTATGTATGTGGGAGTCCAAGTGATTGAGTGACCGAGCGAGCGAGTGAGGTCGTGTGTGTTCTGTATTGTTTAAGTTGACAGGGACGAGTAACTGAGCCTAACCATTCCAGCAGTGGCACTGAAAAACATGGTGGTCTTATAATTTTCTTGTAGCATTTAAAAGGATTACAAATGCAGTGAAAACGACCACCCATCTTTCTCTCCTCTCTACTTTTTTCTCTCATTAAATTCAATTTGGTTTCAAGTGTATGTACGTAGGTCAGCTTCTCTGAAAGGTGCTTTCCTTTCATTTACCAAAATGGTCCCAAAACATAATTCCTCTCTCTTTTTTTTAAGTAAAAGGCGGAAGAATAGTTCGCTTTGGGTTCTGTGCATGGATTCGTTCCTCTCTCTTTTAAGTGATAGTGTATTCTACATGCGCTAATCTACTAAGAATAAGCAGTATTATCCTAATTTGTGAGTAATAGATAAAAGATTTGAATTAATTTGGGTGCAAAGGAGGGATCATATTACTTTGACCAATTAGCCTAATTTAAAATTACCATCAAAAGATGATTTTGTTTACATATTTGCTGCCACATTCTCTCAATAATAGGGAAAATAGAATAAATCACTTGTACAAAAGCGTGTGATCTAAATAATCTTATTGATAAGAAATATAGTTCACCAAGAAATGATTTTTCACACACCTCTTTTTAGCTAATCATGCATGCTTAGTCCGATAATAACAAGTTAAGGGTGAGCTTCTAAGAAGACCTAGCTAAACTTGTAAACTGGTTAGATTCAGATTAGTTACGGGTGAGCTTCTAAGTATCGCAAGGTAACAACAAATACCAACCAGAGTAGTGCAAGCACTATATTTCAACAAATTACAATGGACTTATGCTTAAACAAGTAGAATAAATAAGTGTGCTACATCTTGACATATTACATTTGAGTTCGATCTGTTTCGTAATGTTGAATGAATTGAGTATGTAAAGTCTTTTTTCTTCTTGAAACTAAAGTATACATGTACGTATGTATTTATCACCATTTATTTGAAAGTAAAGCAAATCCACAAAGTCATATTTTTACTCTCTTTTTTTTTTTTAATCCTTTTTGTAACAAATGAAGGTATAATATAATTGTTGAAATATTAAATACAAGCACCCAATGACAACACTTCCAACCAATATCCCAAACAATGGTTAGAAATAAAGTGAAGGTCTGTGAGAGACCTTCAAATAAGCGTTGCATGTGAACGAAAACAAGAAAAACAAAGCAAATACAAAATATTACGTCATTACTGATAATTATTATGTGGTGTGATCATGATCTCCTTCTCCTTCGGTTGTGGCGGAGGACATGTAACTCATAGCTAGGGATGTCTCATCAGAGGGTCCCACTCCTCCCAGTGCTCCTCCTCCTGCGGCGGCAGAAGCAGCAGAGGCAATGTGAAAACGTTGCTTGCAAGCTTGACAAGTGATTTGCAAAATGGCGGAGCTGATTCTCTTAGTTGCCTGCTCTTTGAGCAACTGAGCCTTCTCCACCTCAGCCTGCGCTTGCTGCCTGATCCTCTTGGCGTTCGCGAACTCGATCTCCGCCATCTCTATCTGCCGTTTGGCTTCTCGCCGGGCGTCTTCGGCGTAAGACTTTTCAGCCACGGCCAACTTCAGCTCCTCACTCGCAAACTCTTTCAACCTGGCCACATCCGATGCGGGCCCAACTCCTCCAAGAGCCGATTCATTCTCATCACCTGGAGAGTTGCTTGTTCTTATTATATGTGATGAATTATACTTGCCTGATTCATTCTTTTCGTTGTCAAGCTGATCACTTGACGGGGATCCAATCGAGAGCTTCAGATTAGTTGCGTGACGTTTGTCTAAATTTGGCGGGGAAGAAGTATGCGCTTTTGACGACGGAAGGAGCTGAAGTTCCAATATATTTTTATGCACTCGTTGTTGTTGCTGCTGCTGCTGCTGGCGGTTGCAAGAATTATAAGGATTCATACCGTCACGCTGATCGTGATGGTGAGTTGGGTTTGGTCGCACCGGGAGTCCAGCCAATACTACTGGAGCTGCCACATTGTTACTAATGCTGAAATTGGTGTCACTGGAGGGGCTGGTACTCGATGCGGTTCGCGACGAGCAGGCCGCCGGCTGTAACGCTGCCTGTAACTCCGGCCGGACGACGTGTCGTACTGTGCAAGTGTCTTGGTGCTCTATGAAACTTTCCACTCTGAAATCGATCACGACATAGAATTTAGAATGATTCAAACTAAAACTATATTGCTATCATGTTTAAAAACATGGTTTTTCCTCGGTGTCTTTAACAATTAACAACAACAACAAAAATTAGCCATAAGCGGATAAGCCGTTCGTATATGACATATGTAGGGTTACCAATAAACAATTAATTAATTAGAATATATCATCAGTTAATATATATAGCTAGGTAAGCAAAACAAATCAAATGGGGTAGCCCTATATATTTAATTAATTAATTAATTAAAATATAATGACGACGGGTTTAGTGTGTCCAAAAATAGGTAAATTATATATAAGTAATTACATTTTTGAAAACTTATAAACCGGAAACTGCAGTTTTTGGAAACTGGGGAGCTTCAGCGGCCATGAAAGATAGGATGAGGTCATTTGCCACTGCAGGAAACTGATAACGTACACCATTTGAATTTCAAAGAGAAGAGAACAATAAAATTCATCAATGTTTGAAGAGAGAAAAACGTAGAGGTTGCTTGTAGATTTCAAGTTTGTTCTTATCTGTAACAGCTGCTTTTTTTGGCAGTGCTTTTAGGGTTTGGATGAACCTATGAAAGAGGAGAGACGATAGCAGCTTATAGCTATGTCCTTTGCAATAAATGATTTGGGATTTTAAAAAAACCTGTCTTCAGATTTCAGATAATAATTTTGGCCTAGTAGCTAGTTATTTTTATCAACAAATATATCTTCTTTTTTTTCAGAAATAATTAAAATAGAAGATTTGGCGATATTAGTTCTCAGTAGATAACAAATTTCTAATATTTTAATTTAATTTAATTTACCTTGAAAATACCCGGCCACAGTCACAGGAATGTCCTCTGGTGCCGCAGGTTTTGAGATGTGCTTTGTAATCGGACTGAACGGCGTAGCCTTTGGAGCATTTGCCGCAGACCCACTGCTTGTGGTTGCTATGTTTTCTTCTAAAGTGTTTTTTGATTCCGACGAGATCGCCGAGGGCGTGGCAGGGGTCGTGGTGGAGGCAGCTGGGCTCCGGGCACACGAACACCCGCTTCTTGATCACCTGATCTTCCGCTATCTCTCGCTTCAGCAGCTTCCACGGCACCTTGTGGCGCCTCCTGTGCATCTGCAGATTCTGGTCTCTCTGAAATCCCTGGTTGCAGATCTCGCACACGTACCGGTCCGATTCGAGTAGGGTCTTGGGGGACAGAGACACCACTTCTGCATCCGGATCTATAATATAACCAAAATTAATTAAACCATAATAATTAAGAATTTTAAAGAAAAGGGTTTGATTAATTAACTGAATGATTTTATTTTTACCTGGTGTGCCTGTAGGTCTTCTTTTTCGTTTGTGGGTGGCTCCGCCATTTTCATGGGAGGAAGAAGACGGAGGAGCGGAAGAAGAGGCCGCGGTGTTGTTGTTGTTGGTGTTACCGAACATGGGTGGATTTTTGTGAGGATGTGATGGAAGAGTTTAAGTAAGAGAAGAAGATGACTAAGAATCAATCAATCCCTACATACACACATGTCTGCAGGTAAAGCTGGACTCAGTAGGTTTCAGCTTTACTTTCTTTCATCTCTCTCACGGTCACATATGAGAGAGAAAGAGAGAGGAAGAGGAAAAGCTCTTGCTTTCTGCAATCCACTTTTCCTAAAGCTTTAAGCAGCTTTTAAAGGCTTTTTAGCCAGGCTAGCTTTTCTTCCATTGACCCTCCACCTTGAGCAGGTAAGGTTGTGGCAAGTCTGTCCTGTTTATAAAAGCTCGCCTCTTCTTTCTTTCTTTTTTCTGTACAAGAAGGAAAGAGATCTAGAGAAAAAAAGAGAGAGAGAGGAGGTTGGGGCTGGCTGGCTGGGTGAGGGTGAAGGTGACCCAATCACACGATTCAGTGCAGCTTAAAACTGAGAGCCCCCACACACATCACAGAATTAGACAGAAACAAAAAAACATCCTTCCCGTAAGAAAACAGTCATTACTCGTCACACTGTAATTTTGCATGAGGTAATGCATACCTTCCCAGTTTACCCTCTTCCACGTGAGCTCTCATCCTCCCCTCACGTGACCCTCTCTCTCTCTCCCACTACAGAAAAAAAACAAAAAACAAACAAGAGGTAAAGTCTGGGATAAAAAAGAAAAAGAAATAAGAAGTTACTAATTAACTGTTCACATGGTCTGGTTTAACGAATCATGATGCCCAAGCTAATCCGGATTAACATGTTTCTTGAAGCAGCTTTTGGAAAGGTAGAAAGTAGTAGCACGATTAGGGATTAGTCATTTTCAAGAGGGCTGCCAACTGCCGTAATCATTTCTCTAAGTTCTATTTAATTTCGGATTTTCCATCTTATGTAAATAATTATATATGTAAATTGTAATGGATTAGCATGATTAACAATATTTCTTTCATGTATTCATTATTCACTTTTTGAAAATTGCTCAGAAAACACATGTCAAATTAAAGTTTTCACCAGTGAAGGATGGGGTTTTAAGAACGAATAATTAGCAAAAGGAGAAGATGCTTTATTTACTTGTTGGGTTGGAAAGTATGGGGAGAAGGATTCTCATCACATGCTGGCATGCATTGCTGCATCAAAAAAAAGCAATCATCCCTCCCAAGTGTTTGTGATTCCAAATCTTATCAACTTTTCTTAAACTAATCCGTTTCCCACGCAGCAAAACAAAGCTTTAAAACTTTTTGTTGACTTAGCCCTAAAGTCCGATTAATTATCATAAACTCAACTTAGATCTTAGATTCTTAAGATTTAATTCATTTTAATTTGATTAACATATGGAGATCGAGTACCACTGCCATATCTCCTTGTAATAGATTTGAAATTTTCTTGTTTATTGTGTCACCATGAATTGAACTATTTCAATTGAATTGGACTTTTGCTCTATTTACTATTTGGTGAACGTATAAATATTGGGACTAAATTATTATATTGGACAACACTCCGGCATATTTTGTCATGTCCAATCTTTATCCCGTCACATCGACTAAACATTTTCCTAGTTCTTCGTTGGGAAGTGCTCGAAAACTCCGAATTGAAAAGCAATGTACGATCAAATATTACAAATATCTGAGATTATATTAGCAATAGTACGGAGATGTGTTGGTTTTGTTCAATAATTTTATGATGGGTAGGGGCAAATAATCGTATGCTAAATTGTACTCAGCACGGCATACCACGAGGCCGAGGGCCTGAGGGATTTTGTCTGGTTTACTTTTGTTGGTATTCGAAGAACTGAACCAAAGTTGGCATCGATTCCATTCTTTACTGCTGCACTGAAAACAGAAACGGAGAAAACAACAAATTAAAAATAGTATTCATTTCAAAAGGGATAGGTTTGAGAGTGCATTTTTGCTCACCATCTTCAAATGATGCTAATGTTTTCTACTCTACTTATTATTCTTGGATGAGTTCAAGTTTATAGATTTGTGTCTATTTACTATATCAATATCAAAATTTAAACTTATTTAACGGTAATAAAAAAAGATGGTGAACATTACCATTCATGAGTATGAAGTTCGAAACCACAGGCACAGTGCTAAGCTATCATTGATATGCCCATCTACATATACATCATTTCTTCCCATTCAAGCCACATAAACCGCATTGAATTGAAATGACATATTTGTTTGTTTTCTCCACCTTCCAAGAACCTTCATCTTTTATTTCTTGCATTAACCTGCGTGTTTTGTTGCACAAGGTTACAGAGAGTATATAATACACCTCCATCTCCCTCTGCTAATTTTCTGTAACTGTTTTTTTTTTTCTTCTTAACGTTAACGTTAGTGAATTATATGATGATAGTTAAAGAGAGATTATAATGCTTATGTGAGTCTTTCCAAAAATGTAAATTGTCGTGGTAAAACCATTAGCTAATCCATTTTCAAAACAAAAAAAGCTAAAAAAATTGGTGGTGTAGAGCTCTCCTATACTTTTATCTAAATTTTTGTTAAGTGATATAAGTCAATGAAAAGTTGTTGCCGTTTCAAAGAAAATGATCCTTGTAAATGAAGGGAATGTTTCCCTTTTTAGGCGAGTATGCAACACGCCAACTACCAACCACAAGCATAAATTTGGTCCGCGGATCATTTTCAACAAGTTTCTACTTTATAATATATATATATTTTTTTAATAAAAACCGCTGCTTCTGCTTTATAATATGCTCCTAATTTAGCCCTAAAGTCTAACTTAGCGATTTCGATATATAAACCAAACTCAATAATTAAGGCTTAATTAGTTGAACAATCACACTTTTTTTACTACTCTATTCTACATTAGCAGAAAAAGAGAGTTTAAACTCGTAACACAATAAAATGAACAAAAGATCTTATTCACCAATGCAATCCACTGTTTGCATCGAACAATCACACTTGAGTTTACTAATTCAATAATTCAGTAAGAATAGAGCCCATACGTTTGTCATCAAGACCGAACTCTCTTGTCTGGCTAGGGCCCAAGGCCCAAAACTAAACAAAAAGCTTAACTAATTAATAAGAATTCAGTACGGCATTAACTCGTCCGTCTTCACACCTAAACAGGTGAAACCGCCCAATAAAATTACATCACCACGAAGAAGATGACACTACGGAGAAGGCAAAAGTATGATTTCTCGTTCACATCGGTTGCACAGAAATATACGAGGAACTTGTTCGCTGTCCGGAATTCGAACACAAAGCGTATGCTGCCGAACTTCACAAATGTCACACGACACCATTCTTTCCCCATCGTCTTCCTTTGCTCCACAGGGACAGTGCACGACATAGTTGATTGCTCCACATTCATACATCTCACTAACTCCACCCGTCTCTTTGCTACTCCTACCCTCAAGCACAATATTTTGACCCACCTCAACCATACCAAATGCCAAACCTGTCCCCTTCGCATCGTTCAGGTGTGCAACTGAATCCACCCCAGTAGATCTCCTTGAAATTCCTCTCCACTTCTTGCTTCAAATCATCAATTGTAGCACTGTTTTTCAAGGTCACACACTCGTACGGTTGCAATATTATTGCATTGTTGTTTATAACATTCTTATGGTTATCGTCGTCTACTTCGGAATTGTTTCTTAGCATTACTGTGCAACCGAAACTTCGAAATCTTGTACCACGCAGCCTTTGCCTTCGGATTGTTCATGAGCAAACCGTCCTGATGGTTAGGGGAAGCATGATTGAGATATCTTCTAAGCACTACTCGAAAACTTTAATCACCGGATTCAGCTCATCTGCATGATATATTTTCGAAATTAGGGTTGCCAATTCTGCTGCGGCAACATTTGCAATAAATTGAAGGAAGCATGCTTTCGACCAGAAATTTTTAGTTGTGAAGGGAACACAAGTAGTACATTACGTGTTTAGTGACACGTATCCCACCATTTGTTTAGTGACACGTGATGTACCATCCCGTGTACCAATCACACTGAAAAATCTCTCGCTTTCGACAATGCAAATTGTTTCACCATTGGTGTATGACTTTATGCTCCGCCAATTTCAATGCACACCTGGGCTTTATGCATGTGATTGTTATATATTAACTAGGGATCGGGATGAACGCAAAAGTTCTTTCCTAACTACCCTTCTTGTTCAATTATAATTCATTAATTAATTTGTTGACGTAGTAATTTTTTGGTGTACTTAAAACTCAATCAAGTGATATTATCTCGGTTAAATTATTGCCTACAAGTATTATAACAAGTAACGATACACTACGTGACTTATATTCTTAGTACCTGAAATAATTAATAGCAAGAGAGATGCCTAGGTAGGCAACATTTGACAAGGCATGCCAGTTAGTCCTACAATAACAAAGATGTTATCAAGGTGTTGTGACTTGTGAGTTGCTGTCATGTTTTTAAGAGCTTTCGCTACAGTCTGGGCCCCTCCCTCGTCGTCTTCAGCTTAATGGTCTTCACTCTTCCGGGCTGCTAAGGCCCAATTATATTTTGAGTTTGGTCTTGTGTGGTTTTGGGCTTCATTTTTGCCTATTTTTTAGGCCCAATATTATCTAAATTGTTTATAGCAGTGTTGTTGTGTACAAAATATTACATACGTATTTGGTTCAAAATCTAATTAATTTTTTTCATACAATATATGAAAAGAAATGACTTGATTAGTTAACACATTTGAGTTCGTTTACTTACTAATAATGTGTATGCTGTAAATTGGTATCAGTCTTTTTTTTCTGATGTCATTGCTAAGTTGCTAACACATCGAAAAAAAAAAGTATCTCTCACATTAATCAATAATCTTATCCTTTTTTTTCAAACAATCTTATACTTGGTAGCTCGATATTAGACAAACCAAGTATTTTTCTAATTCACGACTTCTCTTATTTTAAATAAATCTATCACTATAGTAGGTAATTAGTTTCCACCAAACTTTTTCCATATGTGTGTCAACATTCCAAAGCTGTGGATATACCAAAATAAAAGTTTTATTTTTATAAAAATATATCTTTGAAAACTTTAAAAAAAAATTGCTAGATTCAACATATTAGTTAACTTATCAAGTAGGCCTGTAAATTTAGGGCACAACTCAAACCCTTCATACAATTAATTGCTTTAATTTCCCCGTTTAGTTACAAGTCCACCTCCTAAACTCGATAAAAAAGGGAACTTTAACGAAAAGCTCATAGTACTGTTTACTTTAACGAAAAACCATATTTTTACACTAAAAAGGCAATCCTTATACTATTTATTTTACTTATTTTTTTTTATCATTATCGTTAAAACTTAAAGTTTTCAAACTATTTTCATTAATTTTCTTGATAAAATATTTGTTTAAAAACAAAGCGAAAATAAGTAAAGAGAGGATAAGAATTGGGGCTATGCAATTCAACATAAGATACAATGATACATCATATTTTTGACCGAAAATAAAAAAGTATAAGATATATCAAATTTAATTTATTTATTTATTCATGAGGCCTTATAGTTTTCCTTATTTTAAAGTGACAGCTATAAGCTTGATGGATACCCCATTTGTAGGTTTTCTTTCTGTCTCTCTCTCCCCTCTCTCCTCTCTCCTCTCCTCTCTCCTCTCTATCGCATAAGTTTCTCTCTCTCTCTCTCTCTCTCTCTCTCTCTCAGGTTCCTCTCTCCTCTCTCCTCTCTCTCTCTCTCTCCAGAAGGCAAAACCCTAAAGAGCCGTTTACACCCACCTAAGTAAGTTTTCTCTCTCCTCTCTTCTCTCTCCTCTCTCACTGTCTCTCTTTCTCTATCTAAAATTTGAATATATGGGTCCTTGTACTATTATCCTGCCATTTACATTCATGTGCATATTTGTATATTTAAAAGCTTCAAACTTTTTTATGAATTTGTTATTTTTTCTCCTTATTATACCCCAAATCTCAGATCCTAATTTCTCAGATTACGAAACCCTAATTTGTTGTATTTGATTTTGGATGGAAATTCAGATCTGGGTGTTGGTCTGTTTACTTGGGTTCTGTTTGGTTGCTGAGAAACTGTAGGAAATGCACGGAATTTTTCATCCTGGGATTCGCATGTTTATTGATTCGGATTGGAAGGATGTTTCAAATCTTTAGAACTAATCCATTGGATGAGAATATGTGCATACTCATTACCAATTGCATGTTTGCATCTTAAATTTTTGATCTTTTAGATCTGAGAGTATGGGGATTAGGAAGGATCGATAAGATTTGTAAATTTGTAATTTCCTTCTTGTTCTCAGCTGTCAAACAATTGCTTGATCTTTGATTTAATGTGAAGATCCAATATTTTGCGGATGATATGGTTTACAATTTTGCCTCATAGGCCCTCATTTGTGATTATCTTGAGCTATGCTTTGTTTCTCTCTTTGTATCTGTTTTGTTTTTATTGCTATCCTTTTGTTTTCGATTTCTATGGCCTCGGAGGGCTATCCGATGGTAATATTTATTGTTGTTCAAGGACTTTCATTAGAGGGCCTAAACGATGTTTGTTTGTCTGCTGATTCTGTAGCTTTCATGGATGATGATGCATTGAACATGCGCAATTGGGGCTACTATGAGCCATCTTTTAAGGGTCATCTTAGCTTGCAGCTCATGTCAAGCATGGCAGAGCGCGACACTAAACCATTTGTCCCTGGGCGTGACCCTACAGTCATGGTTAGCGCCAACGGAGCCTATCACCCTCGGGATTGTGTTGTATCAGATGCTCAGCTTCCAATGAACTATATGAGGGAGAGTTGGGTAAACCAGAGAGATAAGTTTCTCAATATGATGCCTGCCAATCCTAACTATGGGGCTGTTCTTCCAGAAACTTCAGGTGCCCATTCCTTGCAGATCTTACAGCCACCGGAACCATCAAGGGATGAGAGGGTGGGTAGGATCGAAGAGCCAGTTGTCCCTAAGGAAGTTGGCACATCCAAGAAAAGACAGGGTGGGGGTGCACCAAAAGCCCCAAAAGTGAAAAAGCCCAGGAAGGCAAAGGATAGTACCAATCCTTCAGTTCCTCGTGTGAAGCCAGCAAAGAAGAGTTTGGATGTTGTGATTAACGGGATTAATATGGATATCTCTGGAATTCCAATTCCCATCTGCTCATGCACTGGAGCTCCACAACAGTGTTATAGGTGGGGGTGTGGTGGTTGGCAATCTGCTTGTTGCACCACAAATGTATCTATGTATCCTCTGCCAATGAGCACTAAGCGACGCGGGGCAAGAATAGCTGGAAGAAAAATGAGTCAGGGTGCTTTCAAGAAGGTGTTGGAGAAGCTTGCAGCTGAAGGTTATAATTTTGCTAACCCAATTGATCTTAGGTTTCATTGGGCAAAACATGGTACCAACAAGTTCGTCACTCTCAGGTAGAGTTACTGTGTTGGTAACCGTTAGTGGGACTTCCATTGCATTTGGTCTGTTTCACCTGTATATATTTATGTGGCCTTTTGCAGGGATCTTTCAGATAATTTGTAGTCATTCAATTTTCAGTCAGGACGGATGATACTTGTTTTTAAAATCTGGAATTGTTCTTTTTGTTAATTTTTTTTTTCATTTCGGCTTCTGTTTAAGGGCTGACTTTTCTGGCCACCAGGATTATGTGGATGAGTTGTTATTTATTGAATTGTTGTTGGATAGCATTCAATCTCTGTTTAATCTAATGCTCGTTTTTCGTATTCCTCTGTTGTAGTCAAAAGTAGTATGTTCAATGTGCATTGCTTCTCTGGCTTATAACGACCGAGTTCTATATCGTGTAGCATGCTACTTATAGTTATGGCTATAGAAAGATCGTGGCACCTTTCGATGCATATATGTATCTATGCTGTGAAAGTCATGCTTGTTCCGTTTTTTTGTTTATAATCTTGGGTTTGCCTTGTTTGAGAAGCTGCAGTATTTGTGTTTTCAAGTGTTGTACTCGTACATCCTGTATGTTTTCGCTCGGAGAGGAACATGCTTGATACAGGTTTTGTATGAAGGAAATAGTCATTAGAGAAATGACTAGATTTAGCAAAGGGATTTAGGAGTATACATAGTTGCAGTATTTGTGTTTTCAAGTGTTGTACGTCCTGTATGTTTTCGCTTCGAGAGGAAAATGTTTGATATAGTTTTGTACGAGAGAAATAGTCATTGGAGAAGTGACAGTTGCTTAGGAAACGGATTTAGAGTCTAATACGGGAGGAATAATCATTAGAGAATTGATAGAGGCTAGGTGTCAAAAATCTTCGGAATGTTCGAAATTAATTTGCGTTGAAAATGTCCGGAGTGTCTTAAAATCAATCTTAGGAAACATGTGGTAGGACGAGAATGACTCGAATTTTGGCATGTAATGAATCTTGTATAAATTCTCATCTATTGGAAAATGTTGGCTATAACTAAGTTTATGTGCAAAAATTGAAATTTTTAGTTTCAGAAAATTTTCACATGAGAGTTAAGAAAACATGTAGCAAGACCTTTGGATGTGATCCTACTATGTATTCAGTCTTGAAATTATTTTTATTGATTTTCAAATTTGAAAAATATAAAAAATAATGGAACTAATAGTGGGCCCCTCAAGAGATTTGTAGGTGTCGAAAATCATCAAAATGTCTTAAATTAAATTAGGAAACATGTGGTGCGATTAAAATAACTTGAATTTTGGCTTATTATAAATCTTGTTAAAATCCTCAAAATCAATTGAAAAACGTGGGTTATAACTCACAATATTTGTGAAAAAATTGAAATTTTCAGTTTTAGGAATAATTTCCCCTGGGGGGGGTGTAAAGGAAAATGTTCCAAGACTTTTGGATGTGATCTTACAATTTATTAGGTCCCAAAATTATTTTTTTATTGATTTTTAAAGTTGAAAAATAAAAAATATATATATAAACCAATAGGGGGTTTCCCAAATATAATTTTATGTGTCGAAAATCTTTGGAATGCTAAATTAATTTTAGGAAACATGTGATGTGACGAGAATAACTCGAATTTTGGCTTATAATGAATCTTGTATAAATTCTGAAAATCGATTGGAAAACGTTGGTTATAATTCATATAGTTTTTGTGAAACACATTGAAACTTTTAGTTTAAAAAAAATATTTTGCAGTGAAAAGTCTTAGATTCGAATCTCACGAATGGCGAATTCAATACCAAATTAGGTTGCTCATTGTGTAGCTTAGTCGAACTCCCCCTCCCCCTAGTGTAAAATATATTGTTGTACTAAAAACAAGTAAAATATTACAAGACCCTTGGATGTGATCATATCATTTATTAGGCCAGGGACCTATTTTTTATTGATATTTAACATTGACAAATAGATAATATTATGAACTAATAGCGGTGCCCCTAAAGAGATTTGTAGGTGTTGAAAATCTTCGGAATGTCCTATATTAATTTTGGAAAACATGTGGTGCGATTAGAATGACTCAAATTTTGGCTTATAATAAATCTTGTAAAAATTCTCAAATTTTGTGTAAAGTGAAGGAAAACGTTGCAAGACATGTGGATGTGATTCTACCATTAATTAGGTCCTGAAATTATTTTTTATTGATTTTTAAATTTGATTTTTTTAAAATACTATAAACTAATAGGGGGTCTCCCAAATATACTTTTATGAAATGAAAAATCTTCGGAATGGTCTAAATTAATTTTAGGAAACATGTGATGCAACGAGAATGAATCGAATTTTGGATTATAATGAATCTTGTATAAATTTTCAAAATTGAATGGAAAACGTAACTCGCAGTTTTTGTGAAAAAATAATTGAAATTTTTAGTATTAGGAAATATTTTGCATGGGAGTTAATAAGGAAAATGTTATAAGACCTTTTTGTGAAGTCTAGTTTTATTGTTTGGCTTCTCTGGTCAAATGTTGTAAATTGTACCACACATGCTCTAATTAAATTTAATGTTAATTGCTTTGGGATCTTGTTGCTGGAAATATCACTTCAAGAGTAAAACTTCGTACATCAAATGTTTGTTCATTCATATGCATCTCATGCCCTTATTTCCAGTACATTCTATCTAGTGGTTCGTCAAAACTTCTTGTTGCTTTTACGCGAGTTGAGCACACACTTTAAGACAACCCACATGGGCCATTTGACAGCTTTTTCCCGAAAATGGTTTTTCAGCCCTAGATCTGTCCAGATTGCTTTTGCACATGACACGTGGGTTTTCTGGTCCCCTTTCTGTTTGAACATCAAACCCTTTATATAAACATCAAGCTAGGGTTCAATTGGTTTTTGGGGTTGAGATTGGAAAAGTTTTTTAGAGCTTTATTTTCATCTCCATCTCAGACCTCCTAGAGCATCAAAGCATATTTTATGGGTAATTTTCTTCATTGAATATTTCTAAACCTATCTTTGAAATTGCTTGCTTAAATTCGTTTTATATGCTCATCTCCTTTGGCTAGGATTTTTACATTTTTAGATAAAAGTTGATTTTAACTTTGATTGTGTTCTTTATTAAACCTTAGCCATTTAACTATGTTCATGAATCAAACACTCAATCACTGCATATTAGGGTAGCATTGTCTTCATGGTTTTGTTTTAATGTGGTGGTCAAGTTTTTCAAGTTTCAAATCTTTAAACTGATATCTTTTTGGATTCGCATCAGTTTCATCTTTCAAGTGTTTGACTGGTGAAAATGACTAGACAATTGAATCCAGATTTGCATCAACTTCATTGTGATATCATTTGCATAAGTTGATTGTATTTCAATGTCACAAGGTGAAGAGTTCAAGAGGAGCTGCCACTTTGTGAAGACCGAAGAAATCTATCTCGTGAAAGGCAAGGTTGCACAAAGGTATAAGTTGCTTCATAGATATAAATCTAGGAATTGAGTTTGTGTGGTTGCTTTGTAAGAATCTTGATTTCATTAGTGAATTGGACTCAGCAGAGGGTCCCCGGTTTTTTAACCTAGAGATGGGTTTTTCCGACCAAAAACTTCTTGCGTTCTTTGTCTCTTAAGCTTGTCCACATATTTTATTTACTTGCATATGTTTCATGCATCATATGAATTGTTATTTTGTCACATCCCAGACCGGCTCCGCTGTATCACTATATTGTCCGCTTTGGGCCCCGACCACACCCTCATGGTTTTGTTTCTAGGAACTCACACGATAACTTCACAAGGGGTCACCCATCATGGGAATGCTCTTGTCCGAACTCGCTTAACTTCGGAGTTCCAATGGAATCTGAAGCCAGTGAGTTCCCAAAAGGCCTTGTGCTATAGGAGGTGGACATGTACATATAAGGCACATCACCCCCTCTCCGTTGGTCGATGTGAGATGTAACAATCCACCCCTATAGGGGCTCGACGTCCTCGTTGACACACTCGCACCGAACGGTAGAATGGCTCTGATACCATTCTATCACATCCTAGACCGGCTCCGCCGTATCACGATTCCGCTTTGGGCCCTGACCAAACCTTCACGATTTTGTTTATAGGAACTCACACGAGAACTTCCTAGGAGGTAACCCATCCTGGGAATGCTCTCGCCCTAATTCACTTAACTTTGAAGTTCCAATGGAATCCGAAACCAGTGAGTTCCCAAAAGGCCTCGTGCTATAGGAGGTGGGTATGTACATATAAGACACATCACCCCCTATCTGTTGGTCGATGTGGGATGTAACATATTTGATATGTGTTAGGGACTAAGTTTACACTGCATATTATGAGCAACAAATTGATTTGTTGTTGACTAAGATAACTCGTAGTGAACTAAGTTTGATTCGTAGATTTGCGTTTGATTAACCGACGAATCTGTACTTAGTTGACTGGTGAGCTTGATTAGTCAATCCATCATATTTGAATTCATAATTGCTTTGTTATTGCTGTTTGCATAATGAATAGATATGTAAATGTGTTCAAGCTTAGGAATTATTATTGTGAAACTAATCTGGGCAGACTCTGATTAGTTGAACGTATTGGTCATTTATGTTTTGTTCTTACAATTGCACTTTATACCACTGACTAACTTGTAACTAGTTGACTAGTCTACTGCACAAAGTTAATTTTTATTTGCAAGATATTCCGTCTAGTACCCAATTTCACATTTGGATGTGATTCTACCATTTATTAGGTCCGAAAACTATTTTTTATTACTTTTTTAACATTGAAAATTTTAAAAAGTAATATGAACTAAAAGCGAGGCCCAAAAGAGATTTGAAAATCTTCTAAATGTCCTAGTTAATTTTGAAAAACATATGGTGCTATTAGAATTACTCAAATTTTGACTTATCATAAATCTTGTTAAAATTCTCAAAATCAACTAGAAACGTGGGTAACTCACAGTTTTTGTGTAAAATTTCAAATTTTTAGTTTTAGGAAATATTTTGCATGGGTGTGAAGGAAAATTTTGCAAGACATGTGGATGTGATCCTAACATTAATTAGGTCCTAAAATTATATTTTATTGTTTTAAAGTTGAAATTTTTTACAATAACATAAACTAATAGGGGGTCTCCCATGTAACATCCCACATCGACCAACGGAGAGGGGGTGATGTGCTTTATATGTACATGCTCACCTCCATATAGCATAAAGTCTTTTGGGGACTCATTGGCTTTGAGTTCTATCGGAACTCCGAAGTTAAGCGAGTTCGAACGAGAGCATTCATATGATGAGTGACTTACTAGATCTCGCGTGGGTTCCCAGAAACAAAACCCTGAGGGCATGGCGGGGGCCCAAAGCGGACAATA